ATGATATCACTTATATATGGAATCTTAAAAAACGACAAAAACAAACTTATTTACAAAATAGAAACAGACTCACAGACATGGAAAACAAACTTATGGTTACCAGAGGGGAAACAGTGGTGGAGGGATAAACTGGGAGTTTGGGATTTGCAGATACTAACTACTATATACAAAATAGTTAAACGACAAGGTCCTACTGTAGAGCACAGGGAATTATATTCAGTATCTTGTAGTAACCTATAATGAAAAAGAATATTTATATATACGTGTGTGTGTGTGTGTGTGTGTGTGTGTAACTGAATCACCATGCTGGATACCAGAGACTAACACAACATTGTAAATCGACTGTACTTCAATAAAAATAAATAAATTTAAAAAAAGAAAAAGAATGGCCATTTAGTTCAATGGAGATTTTAGAATAATCCCGCCAGTGTCCTCCCTTCTGGGAAAGAAGAAGGTATTGGCATTTTTCTAGCAGCAGACACGTGTTTAAGGGAGATTTGCTAGAATGATGGACATGAGGGTTATCATTTTCAAGACCTGCCTCCTCTCTAAATATAGCTTGTGTCCAGCATACCTACTCTCAGACCCCCACACCCTGGATGGGGGTGCTGTGGGAGCCCCAAGTAATACTGGAGAAGAGGGGTGCCCCTCGGAGCCTAAATAGTGCTGTGATATGTATGGCAAAGGAGTCAGCTTAGCGTCAGCTGCTTTCTGCAAGCAGTCTGCCCGTGGGGGAGGGAGTAGGGGAACAAGGGACCCATTTCACTTGAGAAAGTCCAAGCCTGACAGCTGAAGGGTCCCAGAGCAGCAAGCATCACTTCACCTCTTCTCCAGGACCGTTTCAGCTGTCTGCGCTGGATTGACAGAGGCATCTGGCTGCTAAAAATACCCTACTGACCAAGTGCTGCCTATTCCAGCTGAAGCTGAGCACGGATTGCCATCCAGGACTCAGTTAAGTCCTCGCAGAGGAACTTCTCAAAAGTTCCCAGGAATTTGAGAAGCACACTGGCCCCTGGTCATTTTCTACTTTGTCAGCTTTGCTGGGCGATGAATGGGGCCCTTCCCAGATCACCATCCTCTGGCCTGCACCATCCCTGTAGCCAGGGAGGGAGGTGGAGGGGGAGGTGAGGGCCCAGGGGCTGGAAGGGGATAGGGAAGGGGAGGTGCTTGTCCATTTATAGGCCTGCTCTTTGGGATGCTGAAGGTGTTGAAATAGCAGCGAGGACAAGGGACTCGGCTCAGTGTTAAATATCTGCCCAGCGGCCTGAAGACTCTGAGATGACTATAGGGAGAATGGAGAACGTGGAGGTCTTCACTTCCGAGGACAAAGGCAGGGGTCTGAAGGCCACTAAGGAGTTCTGGGCTTCGGATGTCATCTTTGCAGAGCGGGCTTACTCCGCGGTGGTTTTTGACAGGTACGGAATGTGGCTTGTTGCCTTCTCTCCCGTTGGTTGGGCTGATGCCACGCTCTAAGAGAGCTGACTCTCAAAATCATCAGGGAAAGGGATGAACCCCATGTGACCACTGATAAGGAATGGCAGTCTGACTGTTTCCTGGAGTAACTTTTTCTGCAAAGAGTCACGGCCAGTGGGAATTGTTCTGGTGGCCAGGTGGTGCAGAGGTGAGCAGCGGCGGTGAGGCGCTCTCTCAGGGCACGGGGTGTGAACCGTGAACTTGGCCGTGTGGGAGCGCTGTGTGTGGTGAGGGTGGAGGCAAGGGGAGTGGAGAGGTGGGTGTGGTGCCCTAGGAAACATTGTCTTACAGAAGGCGCTGTTTTTAGCTTCTGAGGTATAATAAATACATTAGAGGACTAAATAATTCCTGAGACTTAAAAAAAAATTGCAAACACATGAATAACACTGGAATCCATTCACCTCTGAAAGATTAGAATATCACCAAGGAACTGGAATCCCCTTTTACCTTTCCCAGCTTTCATCCCAGTCTCCTCTGTCTCTCCTCAGAGGTAATCCCTGTTGTGCTCTCAACGCGTTTCCTTCTAGAATGTTCTTGTGCTATTACATATATTTATATACGTACCTGTCAAAATGTATGTCTGTTGCTTGTCTTTTTTCCTTTTCCTTTTTTTTTTTACAAGAATGGCATTGTATTTCAGATGTCATTCTGGAACTTGCTCTATTCCCAAAAAACATGTTTTGATATTTATCCTGATGGGGACTATAAGTCTATAGCCACTTCTTTCATTTGCTTGTTAGTGTTTTGGGGGGATAATTAGATTTATTTATTTATGTATTTATTTTAATTTTTTTAACAGAGGTTCTGGAGATTGAACCCAGGACCTCAAGCTTGCTAAGCATGCCCTCTACCACTGCCCTATACCCTCACCCCCTATACCCACTTCTTTTAAATCTGTAAAGATCTCTTTCTAATTTTTTGCCCACATGTAGATCTATCCATGTTGGCCCATATAGTATATGGATCACCGATTTTAACTCCTGTAGGTACTCAACTCTATAAATATATAAACTTTAAAAAATCTATTCCCCTATTGAGAAGCATTTGGTGGTTTCCAGTTTTTCATAAGAACAAACATTTCTGCGATTAAAATCCTTGACCATGTCCACTTGTATACGTGTGTGGTTATTCTCTAAGATAAATGGTTAGAAGAGGAATTGTGCCACAGGGTGTGCTGTTTTTTGTTTTAATAGGCTCTCCAGAGTGGCTCTATTAAATTTACATTCCCATTTCCCCACAATCTTGTCCATACCTGACCACCAGACTTTTGAATTAGTACTAAATCTCAAAAAAAAAAAAAAAGGAAAAAACCCACAACCTCCCCCCTCCAAAAAAAGAACAAAAATAGAAGAAAAAAATAGTACTAAATCTTTATTTAAAAACCCTGGACACCGTGATTAAATTATGACAGTATTCCCTGAGCTCAAAAGTTGAGCTGACCTGCCTGACGTTTGTGGGGCCTGAATTAAGATGGCTTCTGATAATCTAGGTTCATGGTTGGCTCCCTGCACTGACCATCCTGGGAACGGGCGCTGCCTTTCAGAGATAATTTGAATAGCACTCAAATTCTCATGTCATCCAGCCTACCAAGACCTTCAGGGAAAAGACAGCGAATGGAGTACATGGCTGGCTACCAGCTGAGGAATGTAATGGCGCTGAGATGACAGTAATACCTTTTCAGGGGAAGCGTGTCTCACTTTATTAACTTACCTGTGTGTGTGTGTGTGTGTGTGTGTGTGTGTGTGTGTGTGTGTGTGTGTGTGTGTATGTGTGTGGTTGAGGAGTCAGTTGGATGCAGAATTAAATCATAAAAAGCTAGAAACACAGGAATTCTGAACAACGTTCTTGGTGTTGCTACTGAGTTGCACCTTGCCTTTCCTGGAACAAGACCTCCATGGGTGCCTCCGATTTCCTAAAAGCCAATATAGCCAATCAGTTCCCCTTTCAAGAATGTTTAGGTTTTCTTCCATTACAAAAGTAAAACTTAGGAAGAAAAAAATGTATTTTCACACAAAGATAACAACTCAACATTGTTGACTATTTCCTTCCAGTTTATTTTAAAACATAGGTTTCATTTATTTGTACTGTAAACAGGGATCTTATTATATAAACTATCATTTTTTTTTATGTAATGACTTAGGTATCTTCTGTGTTACTATACTTTCTTCATAAGCACAGTATTTTAACGGCTGCGTGCTGTCCAACCACTCCTTTATGACTGGCCATTTAGGTTGTTCACATGTTTTTTTACTATAAAGAATCCATCATTCAGTTGAAGTCATAACTACAAAAACAACTTCAGTGTATATTGTAGATAAAATACTAATAAAATCTTGTATTATTATTATTATTACAATAGTAATAAAAATTGAGTTGATTGGAGTAAATGATCTTTAAAATGATTGAAAAAAATCTAGAAGAGATACTTTTAAAAAAATGGTTTACCTAAACTGGTCACTGCAAAGATGAGGGGGCTGCTCGGGGGTACCTGAGACAGCTGGGGAGGCATCAGAGGAAAGCTTTTCCCTTTCTGTCCTCACTCTCATTTTAGGCTCCTGGGGAGACAGCCACTATAGAGGAGAAACCTGACTGCGGAGGTAGGACTGAGTCATCCACAAAAGTCAGTGTATAAAAGAGGCACGTTCTGATCCCTGTTACTGCAAGCCAGGTTTTCCGTCTTACCCTCCAAACACAAACATGAAGGAAGATTTTATTTTTAGTTGAGCACGGCATTAAATGAAAATCTCTTCTTTCAAACAATATATGACAGATATATACTTGTATATACATATATGTTATGGATCATAACAAGAAATGAACACCCATGAACCACCATCCTACTTAATTAGAATATTCCGATACCTGCATCTTTCCCTACCCAGTCCCTTGCTTGTCCCAAAGGTAACTACAGTAGTATCCTGAATTTTGGGTTATTTATTCCTCTGCCTTTTGAATGACAGTTTTGTCATATATGTACATATTCCTAAACAATATATCACTTAGTTTTTATATCTTGTTTTTGAGCTTTTAAACAAAGGTAGATATTATATGTGGTTTTATGCCACTTCTTTCACTCAAATGTACTTTTATTACTCATCCATATGGTTTTGTGTAACTAATGAAATGAATAAGCTCTGTGTGAGCTTGTGAGTATCACCATTTCTTCTTCCAGTCTCCTCTGAGTGGTTGCTATGGACATTTTTGTTTCTCTCTCTCAGTGAACAGATACACGTGGTGTGTATCCTAGGAGTTGAATTACTGGTTCATCATGTATGTGATATTCAGCTTTAAAATATAATGCTTGCAAGCTGAATTGTGTCTTTGCTAGAATAGATTGGGTTTCGCATTAACAGCAACAATCCAGGCCCTTATAATATAGTCCTTAGTCTGGTTAGGGTCCCTTTAATTTTGCTGGTTGGAAAAACAGGTGGTCTGCTTAAAGATAAAGGAGCAAGAATAATGTAGAGACAATCCTTTCAGACCTGGCAAGTGTGTAGCACTTGGGCCACCGAGATCCCTGGCAGACAAGGCAAATCAATCGGGCACCATGATTGCACCAGGGCAGACATGGCTAATCAATCAGGCAGCTCCTGCCTCCTGAATGCCAACATGGCCTCAGAGTTCTTTCTAGCAGAGTACTCCAGGCAGCCACTACTAATGGGCATTTAAAAGGAAATCTATTTGCTTGGCTTTTAGGTATTTTTGGGTTGGGTGCTGGAAAGAGATGAAGGTGAATTAGGTGGGTAAGGTCAATTTACCAAGGAGTTGTCTTTCACGGACATAGTCTTCTAAAGTGAATGAGACCCCAAGGGTGGTGGATGAGCTGTTAGAGGTTGCTCGCTGCCCCTCTTGCTCTTTATTCTGAGGGTTCCCAGTTCTAGGGAGGACAGAGAATAGGAGCTCCATGATTCTTTAGCTTGAGTGATCTTGCTCGTTTTTGCATGAGGTGGAGCTAATCTGGGAATTAATGATGCCGTCTTGTTTGGATTTTTTTTTTTAAGCTTAATTGAGAAAATTTAGAAATTACAGAAAAACCAAAACAAGAAAATAAAAATTCCCTGCAATCTTAGTATTTAGAGAAAACGACTGTTAATATTCTGTTAATAATGTCCTTACAATATTTTTTTAATGAGGTAAGATTGACTTCTTACAATTGTTTTATGCAAATATGATGCATATAAAATATTTTCATAATCTCAGTGATTTGTAGGTAGGATGTGGTGGTGGGAGAAACACTATATTAAATGTATATTTTGATTGTGAAGTGCTTCCCTAACTTCAAGATATTAAATTATTGGGGGAAGGGTTATTTCACAATGAAAGGAATGACAGAATATAGTATTTTATCAATTCTAGAATACGTATTTCATTTTAACATCACTTTAATTGTGATATCTCCTACAGTCTATGGCTCAGTATGGTTTAATTTTTTTTTTAAATGAGGGGGATAATTAGGTTTATTGATATATTTATTTATTTTTAGAGGAGATACTGGGGATTGAACCCAGGACCTTGTGCATGCTAGACATGCACTCTACCACTTGAGCTACATCTTCTCCCCTCATTATGGTTTAATTGGGAGCATTTTAATGTTGTTTCTTAGTGGTAAAAATTGTGCGCTTAATAATTGACAATATCTTAAATTCAATGTAATTCATGTATACATTTTTTCTTTACACAAAAGTAGAATTATTGTGCAACTTGCTTTCTTTACTTCACAATATGTTGTGAGCATCTTTCCAAACTGTGGGCATTCCTCTAAAGCGTTTTTGATGACTGTATAGTATTCTTTTTGCTGACTGTTGTTCATCAATTTAAGAATTGCTGTATTTTGGATATCGAGATCATTTCCTACTTTTCCTAGTAGATCTTTCCTTACATCTCTGATTACTTATTAAAGATAAACTCCTAGAAGTATGCATTTTAGATTCAAAAGACATCT